GGATTCCACATCGCCACGTAGCCAACCTGGGGGTTTAATTCCTCACCATCCCCACTAGAAACTATGGCTTAGATCTGTCCTGGGGAGCTGGCCTCCTCCTGTAAGGCAACTCAGTAAGGACCGTGTGGGATTGAACCTGTGGCCAGTTGGTTCTTGCAGAGAAACCTCACCCTGAACAAGAGCTGGGCACAGCGAGAGAATGAATTCGGGGGCACAGGGGAGTGATGGATTCCCACGCCCCAGGCTGGGAATCCAGGCCCCTCACAGGTGACAGGGACTTCAGTGCTCACAGTCAACATTCTCACTGGGTGGATGAGAAAACGGGCCCAAGGTCACACGGGAAGTAAGGAACATTGGGGTTTCTCACACTCAGATGGCTTATAGTTAAATGATTTGCTCCACAAACCCGTTTCGCTCGGCTGGGCTGTTTTTGTCTTTCTATAATACGAAAGTAGGTACCAAGATCCAAACTCACGGCTCCCTGTTTCTAGGGCTCCTGACAAAGAGGCCAGCCAAGGCCTGGCCCTGGCATCGGCTCTCCTGCTGCCGATGTCTCGGAAGGCCTCTCTGCCCTCTCCTCCCTCACACCAGCCCCGTTCCCAATCCCCGGGAGAGCACCTCACACAGCCAAAGGAGGTCCACATTTTCCAGTGCAGAAACATGGAGCCAGGCTAAGTGTTGTGGTTTTCTCCAAGTACTTTTATTAGTTCATCGAAGTCAGCCTCTGCCTACTTCCTAGGCGTCCCGCGGCCGGCTCCCAGCGGCTCCCCCAACCCGTGTCTGTTCTGGGACAAAGACATCTCTGTGCTCGTGAGTTTCTAGCTTCCGAGCGCTCTCTCCATTTACCCTGTACCTCCAGAGTTGGCAAGCAGCCCTGGAACCCATCTGTGTGTGCAAATGCTTCAGGGACTTGGGGACCCGCTTTAACATATTGCACATAGTACTAATCGGTTTCCTTCCGCCCCAATGGGAAGGGGTGAGGATCCCTCTTCTTTGGCCAGTGAAACCATTAGGTTCACTTTCTTTGCTATTGCACATCCAACTTCTTTCCTTGATCCTATCTGATGCTGGGATGTAGCGTTCCCCCAAACCGAGGGCAGCTGCTAAATCTCAAATGCTAAGAGAAATACTGTAATTTTGACATCAGTGAGTCAGATCAACACATGCTCTAAATTCATTCTGTTTCACAGTTGGGATGACCCATCTCTCAAACCACAGGCTCAGCTGAGATTTTAACTGAACTCAAGGCCTAGGATGGGCCATGAACTGAGCTGTCCATGTAGAAGGACTGGGCTGCCCTTCCCTGCCCCTCCACAGTGGCCCTGGCAGGCATATTGCACACGTCTAGGAGAAATAACTCTAGAAAAACTAACGAGCACAGGTTTTAGGCAGTGAAAGATGTCTTACTGCTTCTCTTTCCACGTCAGGACTTGAGGACTGAGTCTTTACAGCTCAGAGCATTCCTCCCTTCCTCCTCCGGCCCCCAAAGTCCTGCCTCTTTTCTGGGCACATACGACACTCAATGCTGTGAGATCCCAAGGCAGATGCAGACCCGACCAGTGCTTTTCGACTCAAAGCCATTTTCTGGTTGGGGGGCCAAGGTGTGAGGGGGCGAGAGGGTGGGGGGTCTTAGCTGCACTCCATCCATTCATATGCTTTACCTCTTTGATGCATTTTCCTTCGGTAACCAGAGCCCCCGAGAGCGAGGATTCTGATTCAGCCTTGTACAGACTGAGGAAGGAGATGGAAGAATTCCACTTAGTGTTTGGATCAGACATTTTTGGAAAACACCAGCACGGCACAGAGATGGACAGCACGACCTGCCCTGCGAGGGCAGCTATTGACACAGTCTACAGTAAGCGTTTATGGTGATCACATGTAAACATCATTGAGAGCAAACACTAGGACAGAGCTACGAGATGGTTGCCAATGGCAGCTGCTCCCTCTGGGTTACTCCTTAATTTGGTGGGAAAGAGACAAAGGTTGACTAGTTTCGCTGGAGAGACCTTGGAGTTTCCTTGGTAAATAATCACAGCACCGAATGAGTCCTTCCGGATAGAGGTTGTCTGCAGGGTTGGTCAATTTGAGAACTTGTAGCCTTTTATGTATGGGATGGCAAGCAGAGACTACTTGGTGCCCTTGGCAGGCAGTGTCCCTCATCCGTGGCCACCAGCCCTAACATTAGGCATGTTACGACCCAATGCCACATGACTCCTATCTCTGCTCTGCTCAAGGGCCAACACCTAAGTAACCTCGAGTGCCCTGGATTAATCTGACGTGAAAGGGCAGCTTCAACTGACCCCAAAGAGTCGGGGGACAGACTCATCCTTCGCTAAAAATCTGTATTTCTCTACCCTGAAGGATCACCAACCAGCTCAAGGCAGACCCTTTGGCCAAATGCAATCAAGGAAGAAGCAAACAGGAGGCGCTTAGAGATCATATCATCCAACTCCCTCCAGCACACCGAGGCCAGGCAGGGGAAGGGACTTAGCAAACTCTTGGTGAAGTCGGGACTCCTCCCAGCTCTCCAGACTCTGCATCTAGTGCTCTCTCCTACTGGCTTCCGCAGGGTAAAATCTTTGTTTACTCCTTGATGCAAATCACGACTTCGTGATTTAAATTCGACTCCATTCCATAACTGTTTATGGTGTGCCTACTATGTGCTAGGTGGTGAACAGCTATAAAGGAATTCTGAACGAACAGGTCTGTGCTGTGCAAAGTTTCATTTTTGGTCCATCCTCATAAGCCCTGCCTTCCCCTAATATGTTCCTGTCTGCTATTCCACTACCCGCCACCACCGCCCTGCCCTACCCAAGTGGAGTTGTGTGTCACAGTAGTATTAGGAGTCTTGTGCCAAGGAATGGCTTTAGGAGAATTTTCTCTCATGGACTGGGACATGAAAGACAGGGATGGGCCAGCAGGAAACCCAGCCAGCATATGTTTCTATGTGATTGATGGCAATCTTCTGAAGACTAGACCAGCATGTCAAAGAGATTAAACTCTGATCAATTAGTAATGGCTTCCCAGAGCACTGTATTGAGGATTCTTATCCAGGCTCAAAGAACATAAATGCTGTGGTTGATTAGTTATGTCTGCATTGGCCTGGAGACGTGGGAATAGTAGCGCATGTGCTGTACATTTGCCAACTTGAGCCAGACACTGCCTTAACAGAAGCTAAGACTGTTGGAACTTGCCTAATTCTCCCCCTCAGTCCATTTCATGGAAAAGGGGCCAGAGAGGTCAATGGACTTGACACACAGGAGCTCAAATTCCCTATCCCTGCTAAAGCCTGTCTCCTCCAGCCTTATCCTCAGGCTGGGAGTATGCTCACCACCCAGGATGAGATCGTGGGCTCAGTTTACCTACCGAGGTATTTGATAAACTTAAAAAATAAAATCAACTACCAATTCTCAAAAGACAAAGCTTGGCCTTGGCATTAGCAACAAATTCAATTAGCTTGTTTAGTTTAATAAGTCACTTTCAAATTTTTTAAAGCAATGGGACTTTTTTTTTTTTAAAATACAAACATTTCCCAAGGAACCCTGATGTATGAAGAGATCAGGAGGAACCGCTCTGTCTGAAGCAGAAGCAATGCACTCGTACCCTGCCTGGCCACGCTCTCCCTCACGAATGGCCCCCAAGGCACCTGCAGAACATCAAGCTGGACGTGGCTTTGACATCACTCAATGAGATTTGCTAAATCTCTTTACTTTAAACATAAGGTTTAAAGTAAAGCCCGATTAGAATGTTTTCTAAGTTGGAGGGAGCTAGGAGATTGTCCTATCCATCCCCGACCCTCACGTCCTCCCCCTGGCTCCCCCTGCCCACGCCACCAAAACAACTTTCCAGACGAGGAAAAGCTCAAGACAAGGGACTAGCTGAAGGGAGTGGGATGGATGGCTTGGGAGTTGGCCCCCCAAAAATGATTGCTCCCGGACCGTCTGTCTGCACCACTGCCAGGAGGTCACTGAAGCTGTGATGGTGTGTCCACAGGCGGAGGCAAACCGCAGGACCATCCGGGACTAAAGCTGATAGTACACCAAGACGCATGCCACAGCTTGAATTCGCCCGATGCTGGTGAGTCAACTGGCGACTTAACCCCTGAAATGAGCCCTTAGGCTACTAGCCTGGTGCCCAATTTAGCCAAACTCACCTCTACCAGTCCCTGAAACTTTGCATCTTTACCCCAGCTACTGCAAAAGCATGAGACCAGGAACCAGAAGGCCTGGTTGGGTCACTGCTTTCTGCCTTCTCACTGGCTACGGGAACTTGCTCAAGGCATTTTGCCTGTCGGGGCATGACCAGCCTCACTCACAAAATGGGAGCAATACAGCTCACCCCACCTTCCTTCCAAGGTAGTGGAGGGTCTGTGCACTAATAGACGGGCACCCACTCTAGGCGTGGGCTAGGCACAAGATGGGGGCTCTCGTCATTTGACCCAAACTAGCTCAGTAAGAGACAGGGCAGGGCTTGACAGAAATGGCCTGGAAACCTCTCTCCACGGCTCTTCCTTGTGGCTGCAGGCCATGCTTTCCCGGGGACCAGCCTACCGGCCACCCGGCACCTCGAGGGCAATCTGGCAAGGGGAGCAGAGCAGCTCAGTGGCAAACACCTCATGCCAGTGCATAGTTAAAAAATCAAGGAAGCAATACAATAATCCCAGGCACAGTACATCTGAGCCATAAATACATTATTTTAAGGATATACTTTTTTTTTCTTCAATTAAAAATGAGTTTATAATCCTGATTCTATTCACAAGTAACGATTTCATCATCACACACTACAGACAAGAAATGGTACGGTGAACACGGCTGCAAGTCTACGAGAGGAAGTCCGTCGGGGCGGCAGGGGCAATGGGTGACTGACCAGCACGTCTGGGCGCACCCAGGACAACCCGTTGGAAGCGAGGACACTAATGTGGCAGTGGAAGGTCAACACCATGGAAACTCACAGACAGAAGCAGCTTTGTTCAATGTAAACATTGATTTTTTTTTTTTTTAAAAGGACAGTAGTTTCAAGTCTCTCTCTCACGTGTGTTCTCTCTCACGCTCGCTCGCTCGCTCTCCTTCTCAGATACTTGATTTCTTTGAAAACGTAAACATATTGGAAGGGCCTTGTCTGAGGTATTGAGGTATTCCTCGAGGGTTAAGGCTGTTTTCAATGCAGGCTCTGCTGGGCCTCTTTCAGTAAGCTGTCGAAATCCATGGCTTCGTACTTGCTCTTCCCTGACGCAGGAAGGGCCTCTTCTGAATTGGAATCTGGGCACGGGGGCGGAGAAGTCAGTGAGAGCGGAAGGCAGCGAGCAACTCAGGCCAATCGCGAGATCTGCCACTAAGGGTCACCCTGTGGAGTGTTGGTGGCCCAAGGCCTCGTGGTGGGGGGCAAGCACGAGCACTGGCCTGTAACCACAGACTGCCATCCTGTTGTGACATCTTGGCCACGCTGACAGCATCTCGGGGCTTTGGTTGCCCTGTCTGTAGAGCTGGGGGGCCCAAACTAGAGCACGCCAGAGCGCCTTTCCAGCCCCGACACTCTGTGATTCTACTTCCCCCAACAGTTTCTCGCTCAGTAGCAACCTGGTGCGGGGTCCTGTAACTAGATATGCAGCCAGGTGGCGCACCGCCTGGCCTGGAACCCACCTAGGTCCCTGACATAGCCCTGTCCTGTGAAGGCTGCACTGGACTCTCCCCTACAAATAGTGCTTTCCTCCATCTTTGTCCTTCATCACTATCTTGTCCCCAGATGGCAAGGTCATGATGACGGCACTGTTTCACTGTAGTCCCTTAATGGGCAGGGCGCCTGCCTTGTCAGGGGTCACCATGAATGCCCCAAGGGGGCAGGGCAGCAGCTGGCCCTGTGAGATCAAAGAGACAGTGGCCGCGGTTCTACCAGCTGGCTGTGCACACGAGGTCAAAACTTCCTAGAGGCCATGGGAGGCTTGACTCTCTTTGGTTCCAGTCATAGGACAGGATAAGATGGACCACAGACGGGAAGAAAAACAAGATGGTAGCCTCCAGGGGCTGCAGAGTTACAGCAATCAGCACATGGGGCTTGGGTATGGGAACTGTGTCCAGAGGGACTTTAGGTCTCACTAGACGGTGGCAGGGCCTTGGGCACTTACCGTAGTCAGTGTATCTGGGCCAGCAGAAGTGCTGGAGCCCTCCGTAGCTCAGCTGCAAGGCGGGCTCGTTGCGCTTCCTCAGGGCAGCGCCGTTCCTCAGAGAGAGGGCTGCGTGCTCGGAACACCGGTAGGTGATGAAGCCGTACTTCTCACCTCTGGGGGACAGGACAAGGGGAGCATGTTACCGGACCGGCTTGGTGGATGCTGTCAGACCACCCGTTACTAGATGAGGAGCAGAACGCCATAAGGATTCGGTACCCACGTCACGTGGCCGCCTAAATAGAGACGATGACAATTGCTAGGCTGAGCTCCACGATATCATCGTAGTAAGGGCAGCTGATTTGCTGAATGTGTGCCAGCTGTTGGCCACCACAGGTGGTCTCACATGCTCCTTGGATGACCCTGTAAGGTGGGTGCTGCAGTTATCCCCACCTCACGGATGAGGAAGCGGGCTCAGTAATTCACCCAAAGGCAGTGGCAGAGCAGGGATGCGAACCCAGACCTTTCTGACATTAAAGTCAGTGCCCTTAAAAACCTCTGCTTCCTCCATTATTCCCATTTCTCTGGACTCGCCATACTTACCCCCCATAGAACTATACCACTCTCTGCATCCTTCAAAGCTGGCCTCAGCCGTCACTTCCTTGGCTGCTAACTTGGCTGTCACCTCCCCTAACGCGGCTGGTATCATCCTTCAGGGTAGACATCTAACCTGTCTGTCTGCTCAGCATCCACTCCCCTTCCTCTGACAGCAGCACTATGTGGTCAACCAGCCTCAGGATGCCAGGGTAAGTCACATGACGATGGCCGTCCCTGGACACAGTAGTTTGTTCAAGGATGAGCCTGACACCCAAAATTGAACCCCAAAGAATCCATCCCAGGTCCTTGCTGGAGCCAGGCAGGTGACTCCTGCTTCCCCTGGGGTTGGTCTCTAAGCTGGTGGGAGGTAAGCTTGGAGCTAGAGGCAGCCACTTTGCAACCAGGAGGAAAGTCTGCCTAAGAAGGACCTAAAGTCAGTTCTACCTCGACTTTTCACTCTTATGAACAAGAAAAAGGATCCTGAATGATCAAGGGCAGAGACAAAGTGGCATTTCCCTCCTAATCAGGACAGGAGGGAAACAGGCTTACAAACAGTAGGTTCCTAATAATCATTTAAGTAACTCGTATTTCTTGACATCTCTCTGAACCAGGGCAAAGTTGGAACTCTTCTGCCTCTTTTTTTTTGAGACAGTCTCGCTCTGTCACCCTGGGAGTGTAATGGCATCATCATAGCTCACTGCAACCTCAAACTCCTGGGCTCAAGTGATCCTCCTGCCTCAGCCTCCCTAAGTGGTTAGGGCTAGATGTGTGCACTTCCATGCCCGGCTAATTTAAAACAAATTTTTTGTAGAGTTGGGGTCTTACCATGTTGCCTAGGCTGGTCTCAAACTCCTGGCCTCAAGTGATCCTCCTGCCTCAGCCTCCCAAAGTGCTGGGATTACAGGCATGAGCCATCATGACCAGACTGAATTGGACTATTTTAGATACATCACATAAGTGGAATCATACAGTATTTGTCTTTTTATGACTACCTTATTTCACTTAGCATGTCCTCAAGGTTCATTGATTGGTAGCATGTACTGGAACTTCCTTTTTAAGGCTTCATAATATTCCACTTTATGTATATACGTCGCATTTTGATTATCTATTCATCTGTTGATAGACGTTTGGGTTGTTTCCACCTCTTGGCTATTATGAATAAGACTGCTATGAACATAGGTAAACAAATATCACTTTAAGGTTCTGTTTTCAAGGCTGGATGTGGTGGCTCAACGCCTATTATCCTAGCGCTCTGAGAGGCCAAGAGTTCGAGACCAACCTGAGCAAGAGCGAGACCCTGTCTCTACAAAAAATAGAAAAATTAGCTAGGCGTGGTGGTGCACACCTGTAGTCCCAGCTACTCAGGAGGCTGAGGCAGGAGGCTCACTTGAGCCCAGGAGTTTGAGGTTGCTGTAAGCTACTATATTCTAGCCTCAGTGACAGAGAGAGACCTTGACTCAAAAAAAAAAGAAAAGAAAGAAGGATTCTGTGGATATATACCCGTAAGTAGAATTGCTGGATCGCATTGTAGTTCTATGTTTGATTCTTTCAGGAACCACTGTATTGTTTTTCATGTCATCTGCATCATTTTGCATTCCCATCACCACTATATACAAAGGTTCCAATTTCTCCACATCCTCGCGAGCACTTATTTTCTGTTTTTTTGACAGTAGCCTTTCTAATAGGGAAGAAATATGTAATAACTTTTACACAGAAACTATTTTCTTGCTGAAGCGTTTTATTATTATTATTAAATTAGAATTTAAAAACCCTAGTAACTTAGTTTGCAGATATAATGGGAGTTAATTTAGAAATATTTCAAAACTGACAAAGTTTTGACATCTACATTGTGCATTCACAGGCAACCTGTTCTTTTTGCGGATCCCCTGACAGATGAAACGCTGCTTTTCCCAGTGAGTGAGGAAAAACTAGGGCTGTCAGCAAAACAGAAGGCTCGGGACTTGCCGCTGCAGAGGAAGGGCGGCATGTGAGCGGCACGGAGCTTGTGGTACAATCAGGCCCCGAAGCAAGCGCGTCTGCTAGCTGCCAGCAGCTGTGTGCTGGCCTGCACTGTCTCCAGGGCAAAGGCCCTGAAGCAGACATGCCGGTTCCAGTTCCTGCTCTGCCACGAACTAGCTGCTCAGTTAACTTGTCCGAGCGCCTTCAGAAAGGAGAGCAATGGAAAGAGTAAGAGTGCCCACTTCACAGGCGCACTGGGAAGTTCGGATGCGACAATGCGTGGACACTGCCTGGCGCTTAGGAAACCATCAGCACTTGCTGCTGTCACTGGGTGCACGACCGTCATCGGTCCTTCCTCCGGGCTGCGTTTTCCAGGTCTAGGCTGTGCATCTCATCGAATTCATTTCACAAATCTTCCTGGGCATCTTTTGTGTGCCCAGCCCTGGATGGGGACCCTCCCTGCTCCCCACATCTGCCATGGCTTCACTTGACTCACCTCTTACTTCTTGTCAGCACCTGGCACTCTACGATCTCGCCAAACACTTCGAAGCGCCTCTTTAGCTCTCGGGAGCTCATGTCACTGGAGAGATTTCGAACGTACACCACGCGGCCTTCGCCCTGCCGGAGAAGGAGGACAGAGGGAGAGAGAACCAGTCATTGCCTGGCTTCCTGGGCCCCTGGTGGTGGGCGCCCATGGAGTCTTCTCCCAGTTCATGACGTCTGAGCAAGCAACACCAGCCGGACTCAAAGAGAGGACGGGGTCAACCTCTACGCCAGAGGACCTGCCCTTGTTGGAGGAGGGGGCCTGCAAGTTGGATGGGCAAGTGGCTCCAAAGGCAGCAGCTGCTTACATGGAGGAAATGAGCAGAGCTGGGCTGAGAGGGACAGGGCTTATCGCCATTAACATAACTGCACGCTCAGGAGCTTCCGGACTGTTTGGAGTGTGAGGAGGGGAGGAGCTGCAGTGGAACCACGAGTTGCTGAGGATGGTAACGGGGCGTTGGGAGTCAGAGTGGGTTGCAAGGAGAGGGAACAAGACAGGGGCATCAGGGCTATTGGAGCCACCAATATCTTTGGTTTTCCCTGGGCAAAGTGGCTGAAGCCTCAGTGTAGACGCTGTGACCAAGAAGTCACCTCTGGGAGAGCTTGATGCTAAGCCAGCAGACACCTGCAACAGGCCGGCAGAGGGAGGGGAGGGGGAAAAGCCCAGGCTAGAACGTTCCCTCCTGTCCTCTCAGATCTGTGATTTGATCGAGTTGAAGCCACCGCTATTGGAAGTCACTATGACCTGCTAGAGAAGTCCAGCCTTGTTCCTGGAAACCTGTGCTCCCATGGGCAAAAACGACGGTTTCTGGTTCAGACAGGGTTTTTCTGGGAACAGGTGACAGCCAGTGATTCTCCAGCCATCCCACCCACACACCACAGGTGGCAAGGAAGAAACCCCAGGCCCGAGGTCCGCAAGCAAGGTCACGGGAACCGTTCATCCCACGCGTAACACGTCTAGGTTCAGCTCAGTAGAGAAATCCCCTCCTCCCAGCCTCCTTGCAGCTTCTTGAATTCATATAGCTGTTCCCTGCCACCGCCCTAAACACTGGTCCCCCACGTCTTTGCTGGTTTGCTCCTTTTCATCCCTCAGGGCCCAGCTCCTTGGAGATGTCCTGCCCTGACCACCTACATAAGCATGTCCTTCCCAACCGTCCTAACACAGCTATTTGTTTCAGATATTTCAGTCATAGCATTATTAATTTCACGGTGCTCATCCTGCTCTGTAATTACATTGTTTATTCCTTTGTTTACGAGTCTACTGTCCTTCTCTCCCTTCTGCCCAACCACAAGAGCGGGGACCTCGTCTGTCTTGTTCACTGCTGTCACCTAAAGCCTAGGACAGAGCTGGGCTTGCAACTGCTGAACGATCACACAGACTCCAAGAAGATGCTCCATGTGCAGCCTGTATTAAGTACCTGCTTGCAGACAGCTGTGCACCTCCAGGGTATGCACACGTCCTGTGTACCCCTCTCCTCAAAGTGCCACATCATGGGGGAAACCCAGTGGGAGTCTGCTTGTCTTTCTGAGTTCCTCTCCCTCCTTTCCGGTAACATGACACAGCTGGTCGGCTCCAGCTCCCCACTGCAGGCTCCTGATGTATTTCCTCTGTGGGGAGCTTTGCAGTAGGTTCGCCAGGCAAACCCACAAGGCCAGGCAGGGCCTGTGGACTAACTCTTGGAGAACATCGGGGAGGTAGACGGGGAGGAAGGGATCCTTAGCCCTGATCGGGTTGGGGGAACCCATAGGAATCACAGGCCCAACTCTCTCATGTACAGATGAGTACCATGAGGCTCAGGGAAGCTGGGGCACCTGCCCAAGGTCACACAGAAGGTGGTGGCAGGGCTGGCTTATGACCTCATCAGCCTGGCTCTGCTCCCCCCACAACAACCTGCCCTCTTGGCCCTCTCAAGGTCCCAGGTGCTGAGCCTTAAGTCACCCCTAACTGCAGGCCTCATGACCAGTCTCTTGGCTGGACTTCACACGGTGCCCACCTTTGATGCCCTTTGGGGACCCTCGTGCTTTTCAAATGAGAGAAATAAAATTGTCTTCTGCAGGCCACAGTTTCTTTTTCCCTGGGCAGGGGCTGAAGGCTGAGGGGCTCACCAGCCAGCCTCAAAGGGCTTTGGGTCCATGAACCCCCCACCCTTCCTCCTTGTCCCCGCTCACTCCGGGGCCCCAGGTCACTTACAATGGCCTTTTCCCGCCGCTTCCTGGCATGCCGGACGCTTGGCGTTCTGTCTGAACACGGCCCTCTGCTCTCACATCTGTCAGTGAACAAGCAAAGCAGAGGCACTCACTCTCGGGAGGGACCACGGGGCGGGGAGACATGCTCCAGGAGACAAGGATGCTGCTCTGGGGCTCATTCCAGAGGGCACATGTGTCCAAACCGCCCCCTGCAGAAACCCAGCTTCCCTTCAGCAAGGATGGCCCAGGGCTGGGTGTGGGTCTGAACATTTGGACACGTGCCTTCTGCCAGCTTCCGGGGCTACCTCACTGGGAACCACTGTGTTGCTAATTATGACCCACCCTTCTGAGCCTTGTCTATGCCGTCAGGGGTAGGACAGCCCTTTCGCTTCATTGCCTCACTTGACCTGCTGAAAAAACCGTAGCAGGCCTTATGTTTCACAATTTTCCAGATAAAAAGTCTGAGGCTTGGGTCTGAGATGGGATTTGCCTAAAGTTAGAAAGTAGAGAAGTCAGAGGTAGCAGCAGGTCTTCTGATTCTAGAACTACTGCTCTCTCCATATCTCTGTGCCTCGGCCAAGCAACAGCCCCCTGCCCACCACGGCCCCCCACTTCCGGTCCGGCTATCAGGCTAATTAGTCCGCAGAGCCCACGCAGGCTCCTGGGCGCCACATGCCTGCAGCCTTCCTCTCCTGCCTGCACGCTGCCCTTGCTCCTCCAGTCTGAGTCCTTGACAAATACGGCACGGAGGACAAGAACGCAGGCCCGTGAGTCAGACAGCCCGTGTGTGAACCCCGCTCTACCGCCTCCCTGCTGGGTGACCTTGGGCCAGGTACAGAAGCCCTCTCAGCTTCAGTTCTTCTTCTACAAAACAGGAACAACCAACCGTGTCCACCTCCTTGGCCATTTGTGACAATTAAATAAAAAAACGCACGAAAACCCTTAGCCCAGGAACTGCTCAGTAAATGTTTGCTCTGTTTTTCTATTCAACCTCTCTGAGCCTCAGCTTTCACATCTATAGAATGGGGATAAGCAGCAGACGCACCTTCCAAGTCCATCTGTGAAGCTCAAACAGGGTAAGAGAAGGGGGTGTGACTTGTAAACTTTAAAGTGCTATGTAAGTATAGTATTCTCACCCCTCTGCAACAGCACTGGCAGACCATGCCCACCTGAAGAGCTGCGTGTGACTACAAGGCACTGTGGAGTTCAGGGTTTGTGTTGCTAAACTGGCTCAAAGTGCTTCCTGTGGATGGATGTTTGGTAGTGGAAGCGCATATCTGGAGAAAGGCTGGTTACTAGTTTACCAGGCTTACCGGGTACCAAACTCGGCAAGAACCCAGTTAACCAGTTAACTTTCTCCAGTGAGCAGAAAGAGCCAGCCTTGAACCTGGACCAAAGGAGAGAAGAGGAAAAGGAGAACCCATGTGGGTTTCTAGAGAGGTTGCCGACGGTCCCCCGGCAAGCGCAGGAACACAAGCCTGAACACCCCTGAGCTGGGCGGGAGAGAAGGAGTCAGGGAGGCTCCAGCTTTGGCCCCGGGGGATGTGTTTCAACATGAAGAGAGCCTTGGAAACAGCCAGCATGGAGCCTGAGCGGTTTAGCTCACAGCAAAGCAAGGCTAAAGCCAAAAGCTCGACCTTGGAGGGCTGTAAGGCCGGGGCTCCTCCTGGGGAAAGAAGGGAGCCAGAAAGAGAGGCTCAGAGAGGCCTGACAGACGCCACCTCTAACTGACGGCTCCTGGCTTATTATACAGAAGGGTTTGTGGGAGAAATTGCCGGGGAACTCACGGGGAACAGAAAATTTAGGGCTTCTTAACATTAGTTCGTGGGGATCCATGAACCCCCTAAAACTGAATGCCGAGTTAGATGTTTATGCACATTTTATTGGGGAGAGGGGCCTTTGTCTTAATCAGATTTGCAAACAGTTAAGAGCCATTTGGTGTAGACATGTAAATATAAAGCTGAAGAGCTCTAAGAAAAGGCAACTTCATGTGACCTGAATTCTGGTCTCCGAGCAGGTACTCTGGCAACACCAGCACCACCTGGCATTGCTAGGAATGCCAATTCTCCACCTCCACCCCCACCGACACATGAGATGCCCAGGGGGCGCCCAGCAAGCCCGGCCTGAGCCCTGCAGGTGACTCTGGGCTCAGCTCTATACCCAAGAGCAGCACCTAATGGCCACTGCCCAGGCAGAGGGCTGGAAACCGGCCTCCCCAGGAAGGACCAGGACCTGCTGTCCTGCTGTGATCGGAGAGAGGCACCATCTCCCCGCACCGCACCAAAGCTGCCAAACCTCTATGCTTTCTGCTCAGCTCCCTGGCTGACTTTTGGACGGGCGCCTTCTCCAGTTTGGCTCAGTGAGCACAGGTGGTTTGGGCGAGCAGGCCCCTGATGCGTCGTCCCACACCGAGGTGAAGCTCTCATGGGTGGCTGACTGCCGAAGCCACAGAGCAATTCAGCAGGACCCAGAGATGGGAATAATCACTGCTTTGAATCCAGGGACTTTTTCGGAAGACAGGTTAGGGCTAATCTTTCCCTTACATGTAAATATCACATAGGTTTTCAACTGGGCATGTATATGTTTGCACAAAAACCCATCCATTTTAAATACAAAAGCAGATGAATAAGGGACAAGTTCATTTAGACATAATGCCACAATCAGCCAGGAAGTGGGTTTTCTTTTTCTCCCAGGGCCAGGAGATTTGGGACACTCCAATTTCACAGACCAGGCTTTGTTTGCCTCTGGGACTCACCCACAGCTCCCCCGAGGAGGAGACCACCTTCAGGGCCTCCGACCAGGACACAGGCCGCAGAGGGAGATGTAGCCTCAGTTTGCAAGCAAGTTTCCCGGGACTCCCTTCCCCACTCACACCCTGGAACCTGGGGTCCTCAGCTGCCCACTGCCCCTGAGGCCACCCGTCCATACCTGAAGTTCCTGCGGGTGGCTGGTGACCAGGAGCGGCAGGATGAGGAGCCAGAGCTTGAGCGGCTGCGGGAACAGAGTGGCCGATTGGCCTTGCTTGGTGGGCTCTGGTAGGGGCAGTGGTCAGAGCGAGGGGGGCTGACCCCTGAGTCCTCTTCTTCATTGTCCTCCTCCTCCTCTTCCTCCTCCAGGAGGAAGCTGCTCTCACCACTGCTGCTGCTGCTGTCCTCAAAGACGGTGTCATATTCAGGGCTCTTACACGAGGCCAGGTCTTCATCCTCCAGGGCGGTCTCCAGCAGCCCAAAGTGCTTGGTGAGGCTGGCGCGGATCTCGTGGTCTCTCAGCAGCATACTGTCCTTGGGTGGGATGCCAGCATCACAGCTTCTGTCTTCCTCCCTGCTGGGGGCCTGGGCTTCAGCCCGAGGGGCACCCTGCTGGGGCCAGTCCTCAAGGTGGACCCCAGATGGCTCCCAGGACCTCAGCACCTTCCTCTGCAGGGCGCCCTCTGGCCTGAGCACCTGGCAGTAGTCATGGTCTCCAAAGGAACAGGAGAAGGGGCGCTTCTGGCCAGCCTGGGAGGCCGGCTGGATGGTGGCATGCCGCAGGTGGGACAGGAGCTCACTCCGCTCTGGATGCTTCTTTGGCAGCTTGTGGGCAGGCCCCAAGGTGGCCCCGAGCTGGAGGCCCTCAGGAGAGGGCAGGCTGGGAGCTGTGTCTTTGCCCAAGCTGAGCTTGATGTCTGGCTTGAAGGGGTCCTCCTCTGTGGGCTTGTACGGGGGTGTGGTGGGTGGGGTGAGGCCTGCCCAAGCAAGAAAAGTGAGGTCAAGACAGAGCGCTTCTCCAAGGGACACTAAACCCTACTCTGGGATTGCAGGCATCACTAACTGAGCACTGCCCTGCTGGCTGGGCCTGGAGGTAGCCTGGGAATCCTTCAATCCTCTGGAGTTGGCATGTGATGAAATCCATTTGCCATCTCTTCTGTGACCTGGTAATGGCAGCTGGAGCCTCCAAGTTATCTGAGGCATCTCTTCCTGCTCCACATCTAGTCATCCAGCTACACCTCCCAAATGCCTCTGCGGTCTCCCTGCCTGGAGCCGGGGCAGGTGCCTAAGACCAAGCTGCCCGCTGCGATCTGACAGCACCCTCTGGTGCTCCTGCAGCTGACCTTGGTCCCTGTTGTCCCCAACTTGCCAAAATGCCCTTCTCTTCCTTGCTGGGGCTCCTGAAGCCTACAGGATAAAGAGCAAACACCTCTGCCTTTTGGCCATTTGTCACTGCTCTTTCCTGCCACCTCCCTTCTACCACCCAGCAAGCCCAGGTGACTGGCATCTCTGATGCACCCTGGACTTTCGCGCCCCAGGGGGCTTTGCTTGGCCTGAGCCTGCTGCCGGGCACACCTTCCCCTTCTTGGTCTTTCCGACGTCTAATCATCAAACCCAGCTCCCATGTCCCCTGCTCTGGGTGCCCTGCAGTCTTCCCAGGCCACATTCCTACCCAGCCCCGCCCCTCTTCTGTGACCCAGAGCTCCTGCACATACTTTGAAATTAGCCACATCCAACAGTGCTCGCCATGGTGCAAGTCTCTGTCTCTCCCAAGAGACCGTGGGCTCCTCTGGGGAAGACTCGTGTCTCTTTGTTTTCTGACTCCAGTGTCACCTTATGTGCCAATTATTGGCAGCTGAATGGCTGACCCTCCTCATAACGCCTCCTTGTGTATCTCAACACCCAGTGCAGCCTGTGGGGCAGTGGCAGGAGGGCTCCCTGGCACGCCGTCCCTGCCCGAGGGGCTCTTCAGTGTGCGGGATTCATTGCCAGGGGTCTCTCCAGCTCCCTCAAAGGCAGCCCACCAGCGAAGCCCCGGCTCACCTGCTGTGCCGCAGAGCTCCACTGTCAAGGTCTGCTCAAAGCTCTTCTTGCCAAAAGGAGGGTCGCTGATGGGGGCAGGGAACACAGAAAGGAAAGAGGCAGGTCAGCAGCAGCTTGCACTCCCCCCAGCATGCAAGGTGGGTAAGGGGACACAGGGATGGACCCTGCTCCTGCTGCCCATGGAAACGGAGCCTGGGGAGATCTGCTAGGGGGACCCCCCCCACCCCAGCTGTTAAAGGAATTCAAGCTGCACAGTTCTTTTAGGAGACCCAGGCGAGGTCTGCTGAAGTGTGGAGAGAGGACAAGTGCTGTCAGCCTCTTTGTTTTACAGGTGGAGCAACTGAGGCCCAGAGGGAAGAAGGGACTTGCCGGAAGTCACACAGCACTGTCAGCTTTTCCCCAGGGACAAAACAACTCTTTCCAGGGTCCCAAAGAGGACGGCTTATGAAGTGGCCTGAGGCCTGATGCCCCGTCTTTGCGCTGGGCCTGCAGAGGTCAGCTTCTAAAAACCAGCCCCTTCCAAAGGAGCCCAGCACCCGAGGGCCCCAGATGACAATGAGGGCAGGGGACAGGGCCAGGTTCAGCCACTGGAGAACCCCTCCCACTCCGACACACACACCCAACAAGACAAACTCTCATGGAATCCTATGCCAATAATTCCTAAAAATCTACCTTTGTGACAAGGCCAGCATGAGGCACCTGGGAGAGTCTGAAAAGACAAAAACAGAAAAATAAGATTCCCCAACATGGCATCACTAGCAGACGTTTCACCTCTGGAGGAGACCCCAAACTATCATTGGTGCCAAGCACAGCTGCCCTTTGGGCAGGTGACCCAAATGCCTGTGCACTTTTAGAGAAGGGCAGGAACAACTCAAACCCACCTTGCACCCCAGGCTCTCGGCCCAGCGTCTACTTGATTTTGCCGGAAGGACAGAGGGGCACGAGGGTGACACCTTCTGGCCAAACAGCGTAGCACAGTCAAGAGCTCTGACTCCCAAGTCCCACAGATTGGGGCTCGGGACAGAGCCCTGTGTCGGACTGATCACGTAACAGCTCTGTGCCTACCACACAGGTTTCTCATGGGGAGCCAACGAGCATACCCCGGGTGACGTCCGAGACCAGTGCCGGGCACGGGAAGTGCGCAACAGCTAACGGTTACTGTTACCATGACCGCTATCATCAGCTGCATTTACAGACACACCTCCGTCACATCATCCCCAGCAAGTCTACGGTATGGTACTGCTCACACTTTGTAATTATCTTCCTTTTTTGTTTACTTTTTGACCGGCCCCCCCTCTGAAACACAAGCCCCACGAAGGCATCTTGCTCCTTGTTCGTTAAGTGGCATCCCGCCCGTGCACGATGAAAAACTCAGATGTGTGGCTGTTTTCCCGAAGATCTGCTCTAATTAGCCCAAAGAGAAGTCGCAGCCCCAGTGCAGAAGGGACTTGCCCGACCTCCCAAACACGCGGGGGGCCCCTGGTGCCAGTGCAGAGGGTCCGCCACACCCCGTCCCTGCCCCCTCCTCGCAGACCACCGACTCTGACTACCTCTGGGAGGGAGCCTCGGGCAGCTGGGGTCCTCATCGGTGTCCCCACACCCGCTCTCACAGGGGCTCTCCAGGGCAGGAATCTGGGGTCCCGGTACAAGCTGCTGGTCTTGGCCAGTGTCCTCGTCCGTGGGGCTGCCCAGCTCCCCCTCGATGTCGTAGGCTTTGGGAGCCAGGCACAGCGAGGGCAGAGCACCTTGGGGCTCCGAGGGGACCAGTGACTCATCAGCAAATGTCAGCCAGGGGCCCAGCTCGGGGTTCAGTCTCCGTGACCGCCGCACCGGGCACACAGAGCTCCCCAGTTTCCTCCCCAGCTTGGTCCACAGCAGGCCTCGGCCTGGCCTTTTCCTGCCCCACTCCTCCTCTTCCTCCTTCTCCTCTTTTTCTTCTTCCTCTTCTTCCTCCTCATCTTCTTCCTCTTCTTGCTGCTGCGGCCGGGCAGGCCGGCGGACATCCCCTTTCACCTCCAGCCGCAGTGGGCGCAGGCTCGGTCTGGGCCCGGTGTTCTTGGACGAAGCTGCGACCCTTACCTCCTCCACTGGGGGTGGGTGGCCAGGGGAGGCCTGGCCGTCTTTGGGGGGCCTGGGCTTGGACTGCGGTGTGAGGGAGGCGTAGACAGGCGTGGCCAGGCGGTAGGGTTTGCTGACATCGCAGAGAACATCTCGAGCTAGAAGTTCCCTCAAAATGGAGAACTCAGCCCAGGAGGCTTTAGAGGGGTGCTGGGGCCGGGGCCTGACTTGCGTGGAGGGGCTGTCGCAGGGCTGGGGGGCTGGCAGCTTCCTCTGGGGGAGGCAGTAGGTGTGCATGTAGCGGATGAGCTGCACCATGGCCTGCATGTCCTCCTGGGGGACCCGGGCGCTAGGGCCTGGCCTGGCCGGTGCTGGGGAGTTCCGGGGAGAGGCTGGAGCTGGCTGGGGGCTCGGGCAGTCCTCATCCGGCTCCTCGTCCTCCTTGGCAGAAGGACGGGGACTCCAGGGGGGTGGCAGCTGCAGGCCCCGGTCTGGAGAGTGGGCTTTCGAGGTGAGGTGCTTATGCAGCTCTGTGCAGCTCCGGCTCTGAGGCTGCGTCATGGGCGCCTTCTTGTCATGAGTGCTGTCTACCTAGAGAGGGAAGACGCCAGAGTGAAGAGGGAGCCCCACACTGCTCCTCCCTTCTGCCCCATCCCACGGCCCCTGGCCAGCCTGGACTCTCACCTGGACCATGGGGACAGGCAGGTTTCCTTCACTCCATCCCCAGCCTCCAGTACAGAGCCTGACACCAGGCCGTGCTCAGCGGATGAGGAATGAAGGGATGGCCAGCCTCTTAACAGGTCTCCCAGCCACGCAGACCCTTCCAGATTCACTGCCAAAGCCCCGCTCTGACCATCCCACTCCCCCGCTCGGCACCCTTCAGTAACAGAGCCAGGAAGTGACTCGTGGCGGCCTAGGGCTGGGCATGGGAAGGTCGCGCTGTAGATGGGGGACTGGGGGTCTTCTGGGAGGTTGGGCATGTCCTAAATCGGGGCTGTGGCCATGTCTGCACGACTGTAAATTTACTGAGGATCACAGAATTGTACTGTTAAGATAGGTGGCTTTTATGTGTGCACACGGCACCTCGGTAAAATTGTTTAAAAGAAGGAGAAATTCCCTAGCTGCCCCGTACCCACAGGACCCTGGGGAAGCTGCCTGGCTGGGCGGCTGAGGCCCCTGCAACCTGCACCAGCCGACTCCTCTCCAGCCTTACTGGCCCCACTTGTCCACACGGCGGCTTTCCTCCCAGTGCGACCAGTCTCTCTGGTGGGGCCTTCTAGCGATGGCTGTTGGCGTCTCTCAGCATCTGGGGAGCTTGCTAGGCTCCCAGAGGGCAAAGAGGTGGCTCATGCAGGGGCATGGCTGCTGCTCCCTTGACAGCATGGAACACAGGAAGATGGGCCTTTGTTTCAGGTCAGCCAGGACAAATAGGGCGGGAACACAGGGACAGGAGGGGGAGGCCAGAGGGGAGGTTTTCAGGAACAAGAACCCTTGGAAATCACCTGTTAAACCTCTCCTTGTTAGGCTTGGAAGATGGGGCCCTAGGGGGCAAACGGACTTGCTTGGACCCTGCGTGTCCATCACAGAAGCTTAAAGTCTCCAATAGCTCCCAGAAAAGAAATCCAAGCTCTTTATTTACTGTGGCCTCTGCAACCAGCGAGGACCTTGCGTTTGGGCCTGTCATACCATTAGAATATAAGCCCCCAAGGGCAGGCTGCATCTTTCTCGTCCCTGTTCTAACCAGTGTCTGGAACACTGAAGGGTAAGAATTCCAGGGCTCTTTCTAGAACCCTGAACTGGGCTGGGTCTCAAGAAGCAGTGCCCAGGACGCCAGCTACAAGGGCTGTGGGATGAGCAGGAACTGAAATGAGAAGTTGGTTGAACTTGATACCCTTCACCAGACCTGAAGGCTGCATCCCCGAAAGGTCACCTGGGGGGCTGGGCAGATTTCTGGGCATGTGCAGAAATACCTTGACATAAGGCCGCTGACTTTTGGACCTGAGGCCTGCCTGGCGCCAGGCGGTCCCGTCCTTCTGGGTGTCAGAGCTTGATGCTGGGGAGGATGTGGCGAGGAGGAGCTTCTGCAGCTGAGGGAGAAGCAGAGAGGTCAGGAGCTGGGGCGGAGCCACAGCCAGAGGGCACGGACTGCAGGGCCAGCCCCTCCAGACTGACCATGTTCTGACCCCGGCATCACAGGACCAGGCATTCTATGACCTGGAATGATGTCCCCTAGATATTTTTTTTTTTTTTTGAGACAGAGTCTCACTCTGTTGCCCAGAGTAGAGTGCCGTGGCGTCAGCCTAGCTCACAGCAATCTCAGACTCCTGGGCTCAAGCAATCCTCCTGCCTCAGCCTCCCGAGTAGCTGGGACTACAGGCATGCGCCACCATGCCCGGCTAATTTTTTCTATATATTTTTAGTTGTCCAAACAATTTCCTTCCATTTTTAGTAGAGACGGGGTCTCGCTCTTGCTCAGGCTGGTCTCGAACTCCTGACCTTGAGCGATCCACCCGCCTTGGCCTCCCAGAGTGCTAGGATCACAGGCGTGAGCCACTGCACCCGGCCTCCCCTAGATATTAAGTGCAGATGGCAGACTGTCTAACAATCCCAGACACACACAAGTATCCCAACGACATGTAAATCCTTTTCAGAGTTAATAACCCAGGAGAAGAGCTGTGACTTTGAGAACCCAAAGAGGTCTTGGGTAATGTCTGTCTAGTGTCTGTCCATTCTACTGGTAAAAATTGCGTGTATACTTTATCGGGACACTGCATGTACTCGTGGTACACACACGCACACACTCTGGAAGGTTAGGTCCAAAATGATCCCAGCTGTGGAATTCTAGCTGATTTCTCATTTGTTCTTTTTTCTTACTCATATTACCTTTAAGAAAAAAGACACATCACAAATACCAAAGGGTGGACAATTCAAAGCAAGTCTACCTCCTGCCCAAAGTCCCTTTCTCCCTCCCAGAGGCAACCACCATTAACCACTTTCTTGTGAACCTATCACGAGGTGGGCTTGGTCCATACAAGATACACAATGCATATATCACCTCCAGCCCACCCTGATGTCTGTGCACAACTGGAAGAATACTACACACTTAAGCTTGTCTGACTTTTTTTTCCCCCCAACTAATTTTTCTGTAAAAATAATTAAAACTCTTCTGCTTCTGCACCCTGAAGGCAGGTGCACAGCGTGTCTAAGCTGAGAGAACAAGAAGCTGAATACACCTGGAAGTTCCACCAGGGACCCTACCATAGCCGAGGTTGGGACAAACCGAGAAACATAATGAGATTTTAATACAGCACCGAGTGTTTCCTTGGGGTACGTGCCACCCCAACTCACCCCAGCAAGGAGCCAGAGAAAAGGCCACTCCACACCCTCCCAAGGAGCTGGAGGATCCCCACCACCCTACCTACATGTTTGTGACTCCCTGGCTTTGGACAGATTCCCTGGACCGGAGGAATTAGATCTCGTTCCAGCCCCACTCAGGCCCAACTCACTGTGAGACCTTGGGCAGGTCATTTCCTTCTCTGGGCCTTGGTTTCTCCACTGGTATAGTGAGGGGAAGATAGACTAAATGGCTGGATCTGAACTTTTTTAAGACTCTAAGAAGACGACAGAAGCTGCTGACCTCAGAAAAATGCACAGATATGTACGAGTCCATGGGTCCTTGTAAGTCCCTTGCTGGACTCTGGGATCCATGGTCCAACCTGGGGTCTGGATGATTTCTCAGGGCCTTTCTAGAACTCTGTCGGTATGCTGGGAATCTAGACAGGGCGTCTGTTTCCTGTGTGCCTCGTGCAGCACTCAGTAAACATGTGTGGAATGCATGGCACGGGCGGGAAACAATCTGTGACCAGCAGGGGCCACTCTTTGCCTCCCCAAGGTTTGGGCCCCCGCCAGAGGCCCCACGCAGAAATGGCACTGAGAACTCCTGTTATTACTAATGGCTGCGCCGGAAGTATTACCTAGCTAGTGTTTACTGAGCAACTCTATGTGCCCGGCCCTGTTTTAAGTGCTTTCCATGTATTATCTGCTATAATCTTCCTAAAACCTTTGACACAAGCACTGTTATTAACCCCATCTTACGGGGTTAATAGAGAGGTTAGAGTCTTAGAGAGGTTCAGGTCACGTGCTGGAAGGACACATAAGTACTGATTGGCAGGGCTGGGATTCAAACCCAGGCGGTCTCACTCCTGTCTGCAAGGGAGGAGGAGCCACAACACGGGACTGAACACATTCTGCGCCCCGCACGCGCTGGGTGCTTACTGCATGTGTCACACTGCTTTGGGGAACTTGGAGGCAGTGGGAAGGAAGGGAGAGGGTCCTAGACCAGGAGTCGGAACACCTGAGTTCCAGTCTTTGCTGGCACACTGACTTGCTGTGGGACCATGGGAGATACCCTCCCCACGCTGGGCCTCAGTTTCCCCAGACAGGCCTTTCCAGGGCAGCCTCTGCATGACCTGAGAACCCTCTCAGCTCCGGCAGGCTCTGGTTCCAGCTGAGTCTCACCAGCCTCCAGAAGCCACAGCACACAACAGCTCAGCTTTGGGCCCCGTCAGTCCGAGTCAAGGACAACAGCTTTCGATTAACTTTTGAGGTCCAGATCCTTTTGAAAATCTGATAGAAGCTGAGATCTTCTCCTTAGAAAGCTGCTATTCCATACACATTTCTGCATATATTCACAAAGCACTTAGTTCTTGCTAACCAGTCCTGCAAACCTGCAAACCAGTCCAACCTCTTTGGAGGGCAATCTGGAAGTATCTGTCTAAACTGAAAAATCACGTATCCATAGACCCAGAAATTTCATTTCTAGGAATTTACTTACATGTCGAAAAGGCCTGTACGAGGAGTTACTGCAGCACTGTTTGTAATAATAAAGGAGTTGAAACAACATAATACCCATCCACAGGGGACTGGTTAAATAAATTACGGTACATCCTTACCAAGGAACATTACACAGCCAACAAAAAGAATGAAACAGAGTACTATATGCTCATCTGGAAGAGTTTCTGAGATATGCAGTTCACTGAGAGAGCAAGGTGCAGAACCATATCTGACGTAGGCTCCCTTTTGTAGTAAAAAAACAAAACAGGTAGAAGAGGAATGTCACATAACAGACCAGTAACCATGGTTACCTCTGGGGAAGGAAAAAGCCATTGAGAGAGGGCTCAGGAGGTTTTGCTTTTAACTGTTCGCATTTACTATCTGGATTTTTGCCGTGTGTATATAATCTTTAGGAAAATGTTTGCATGTAATTTGAAGGATTTAACACATGACTAGGTCAATCCTTGAAATCCCCAAGAGCCTACAGGATGCAGGTGAAGCCTGAGGTTAGTCCTGCTGTCTAGGTGGGAACGGCGAGGCCCAGGGCAGCCTCCCACCTCCACCCCAGGCTCTCTGCTGTGAACCACGCTGCCGGCGGTGCACAGACACCCCTGCCGGGCTGGAGCTGACTGCTCTGCGCCCAGCTTCCTACAACCAGACATCCATCCCAGGCCAAAACCTTTACTTTGGCTGGAAACAGGTTCTCACCAGTGAGAGCTCATCCACCTCAGGGGCTGGGGCCGGGGGTGTCTCCAGAGCGGGGCTGGGGGGCGCAGATGAGGGGGCAGGTGAAGCTGAGGTGCAGGATGGCACGTCTCCACCATCCAGGGCCGGGAAGGCAGCCAGAGCCACGTCGTCTTCGGGCATGTCGTCCAGGGTCTTGGTGAGCTCTGCCAGGAGGGCCTCATTCTCACTGTCGATCTGGAGTGAGGCAGGCAGGAGCAGTAGAAAGGCAGAGAGGGAAGATGGTTAGGAACCACCTTAACCTTGGCCTTCGCAGTGAAATCCGACTCTCCCCACGCAGCTGGACCATCATCACTCTCCTGCCACCCCACCCCCTCCCTCACCAGAGCTGCTCAGTGTTCCTGGGAGAGCAGATGACAGTGGAACGGGCCTGCCCTGGAAGTCCCAGTCTTGGCTCTGTTGCTCATCAGTGTGTGACCTTGGGCGCAGGGCCGTCCACCTGAGCAACGCCCGCCCCCTCCACCAAGGACTGAGGCGGTTCCACACACTGGCAGCAGCATCCCATTGCAGCCCCAGCCCCTTGGACCCTGGGACCCAGGCAGTGCAAAGGCCAGAAGCTCCAGGGTTCAACCATAACAATGAGAACCACAGCCACTGCCCTCCTCATTCACTCAAGGACAGGCAGTGAATATGGTGAGTATGGTGGTCAGAAGCCTGGGATCGGGAGCTGGGGCTGAATTCCAGATCCCATGCTTATCAACTGTGGGTCCTTAGGCAAGTTTGTTTCCTCATCTGTCAAATGGGATGACAAACAGTACATATTTCATAAGGTCATTGCTGAGGGCCAGATGAGTCAACATAGATAAGATCCTTAGAAAATAGCGCCTGGCACAAAATAAGCACCAGCTACTATGACGACTACAACCTTGACCACATCTATTGCTGCCACTACTACCACGATGCCTGCTATGATGACGATGATGATGATGGCAGTGGTGACAGCAATTCCTCCCGTTCCTTGTTCCTCCCTTCCTCTCCCTACCGCGTGGCTACGCTGGGCCTGGGTTTGTGCTGGACACCGGTGACACGGCACGCCAAAGGCATGCGCACCCTGCCCCTGTGGGGCTTACCCTCCGTGGAGGACAGAAAAAAAACAGGATCATTTCAGAGAGTGAGAAAGGCTGGGAAGGAAGCCGTGATGAACGTGGTGGAGATTTATAGGCTACTCAGGGCGGTCAAAGAAGACGTCCCTGAGCAACTGGTGCTGAAACTTAGGCTTGAAAGACACCAGCCAGGCAAAGGGCTAAGGAGAGAAGACCCAGGCAGAGGGAAAAAGCAGTGAAGGGCCAGGGGCGCAGGGCTTGGCTGATGAGAATGGAAAGGCTTTTCTTTCCATACTGCCTTGGGCGGCCCCCACAACCCCTCCGAGGGAGCACGATTCTAATCGCCAGTTTGCAGTTGAGGAAACAGAGACTCACGGAGGCTCAGCAACTTGTCAGGGGTCGCACAGCAAATAAAGGGCAGAGCCAGGCCTTGGACAGGCTCTTCCTCTCCTGCTGTCTGAGATCTGTCAGGAGGACCGGCGAGCACACTCCTGCCCCAGGCCCCGCACCATGATCACACTGCTTCAGGGGAGGCAGCGAGGGTCTCCTTCAGCACAGCCTGGCCCCGGGCCTGCTCTGGCGGAGGAACGCTCTGCCACGTGACACCCCCTCGGCACTCTTTCCCATCCCGGGTCAGGCTGTTTATCCTTCCTTCGGGAAGTTCATCTGAAATACGCATCTCGTGACGGCCTTTTGGCTGCACTAAAACTGTTCCAGGCCTTGCAGCCGGAGCAGCAGCTGAGTAATTCAAAGGGGAGACACAGGGAGAGGAGAACAAACACGTTTGTAATTTTTAGAACAGAGCTAAGAATAAAAGAAAGGTCAAAAGAAGATTTTGGTTGGGCCTGACCCAGGCCCTGGGGGATGGGGGGCCCAAGGCCAGATCAGGACTGCTCCGATGGACTCCATCCAGCTCTAGAATGCGGTGGGGCTCACTTGGCTGCCCCCCCCACCCACCACCTGTGAGTCTCCTTCAACCCTCAGACTCCCAATCCTGTGTTCCCAGAATAATTTCTCCAGCTTGACAGAGAGTTAAGATCCTGGAACTTGGGGCTCAATGATCACTCTTGGGGCTGAACACATGGGGCTTTGCCATCGACAGGGTGACCTTGGGCAAGACGCTTCTCTCCTCTGAGCCTTGTTCCTTTTCCTGTGAAATGGGAAGACATGATCCCTGGCCAGCCTCCCTCCCAGGGGTCCCACAAAGGCCGAGTCTAGAAGTGGTGGCGAGAGGGCTTTGTAGAATGCTCAGGTGCCTAGCTCAGTGCTTGTGGCGCGGAGGGCGCTGTGGCAGATGCAATGAACGAAAGAATGAATGGACCGAACAGTGGACGATGGCGGGAGGCTGAGCTCAGTGTCTCAAAGACCAGATTCTAGAGGGAAGTCATCCAGAAATGACATCATCAGCACTGCATAAACTGAGAATTCCCACTCCTTCCCAGGGAGGGTAGCAAATGGGCCAGAGACGTCGTGAATTATCGCAAATATCAGAGCTGGCAGGGCTCGCGGGAATCACGTAGTGACCAGGGATGCCAAATGCATGGCATGCGCGCTACCGCTCCCCTGTACTGTCACCAGCTGTGGCACTGGTTCTTCCACACCAGCATTTTTCTTGGTGCAGGTCACCAGGAGACAGCTGCCAATCAATCAGAGCCGGCATTCACTGCCATTCTTCATTTTTTGGCGTGTTGAGGGGGAACGAAGCCCCAGGAAAGAGACTTTTGAAGGTCACACAGCAAGTCAGGGTCCCGAGGTCAAGGACCAGAACCCAGGACTGAGAGTGCCAACATGACTTACTGAGTGCTAGGCATAGAGCTGAAATGAGTCCAAAAGGGCAAAGACCTCAACAAGCACCCATCATGTTGGGTACAAACAAAAATGACTAACAAAAGTCCTCCCCTTGCCCCATCCTTCCCTGGGCTGTTCAGCTCTGGAACTGCCAAGCAGGCTTGGAGGCCCCGGCTGGGAAGCACGGCCATCCCTGGCCATTCCGGCCCACGGCCATCCCTGCCCACGCAGCCACTGCTCCCCCAGGCCAGCCGTCGGCACCCTGAGGCGATGCATCACGGGAGCCCTACCGCCCCTCTCCTCTTCCCCAGGCCCATTAGCTCGGCTCCTGCTCCGCTTAGAAAGAGTGCAAATTAATGGAGAGTTAATCAGCTGAGGAAGGGATATTAATAGACTCGGCCCCACCCCCAACTCTCCTGAGCTGATCTCAAGCTGGAGGAAAAGAAGCCTTCAAGAAATCTGATGGAAAAATGCTTCATTTTGAGGACCTAGAGTGGCTTGAAGGACTGTCACAGAACAGAATTAGGTTATCAGGGCTGGAGGAACACTCAGAGATCCTCCACCACCCAGGGGGCTTAACTGAGGTCCAAGAAACACAGGAAATTGCCCCCCGCCCTCATTTTTCTAGGAGTAGGTCCATGATTTCATCAGAGTCTAAAAGGACCCACTGACTCCTCCTCCAGCCCCAAGAGATTAAGAACCACAGACCCAGTCCACGTTCCTTCCTCATTCCTCCGCTGGGAAACGCAGGCCCAACCACAGGGATCCACTTGCCCAGGGCCACGTGGCAAACTGTGGCAGAACAGCCAAACACCTGCCGACTCTAGAAATATTTACTAAGTGCCTGCCGTGCCCAGCCCTAAGGACTCTGGTCATACAGAAGTGGATGTCCCTGTCCCCGAGAAGTTGTCAACTCTTATAACTGTAGCGTGTTCCCCACTCTCCCGGTTTGTTTCCACAGCAATGGTGCCATCTGACCATCAGAACACAGGTCTGGGGCAGGCAGCAAGCCTCAGCATTCCCACTGGCCTCCAGGGAAGCAGGCCCGGCTAGCACCAGGAGGATTAGAACCTACGGTCCCGGATCCCAGCTCAAGGTTTTTGGAATGGTCATGTCTGGCCCTCAGCAGGGCCGAGAGATGAACAAAGTACCGTTTGGCCCCAAGGAATGCACGGGCTGAAGGATAACATGCGTGTACACACAAACACACACACACACACACACACACACACACACACACACACACACGATAGACAGGAGCCCACGAGCGGAAGTAACTGACCAACTGCCGTAGGAGGCGGCGACATGGGAGCTGGGTGTTGGAGGATTTATTCATTTGATGAGGAATGGAGGGAGCTGGCTGGCCTAGTCTTGGGGGAGCTGGTGGGGTCTGCAGCCATGCAGGGGAGAGAGGCGGGGTGGGCAGAGTCCTGCCAGCTGCTGTCATTAGTAGCCCCTCAGCAGGGGCTTGCAGGTGGGTCTGGCCAGTCTCTGGGGCCTGTACAGTCTAAGTGGGGGTGGTCTCCAGGCAGCACCCAGATCCCTCTCACTCTTTAGCCCTCTGCGACCTGAAAGCATTTTCTGGAAGTTGGCCCCTTAAGAGGAAAGGAACAACATAGCAAAGATATCATCCCCATTGTTCAGATAAGGAAATGGAGGTCTCTAGATGGAGTCAGAAGTACAGCCCAGTCCTGCTGACTCCTCACAGGGTGGGCAAGGGGGTGAAGGTATAGGTTTCCTACGTTGGAGTCTTTGCCCGGATCCTTCCCAGCTGTGTGACCACGGGCCAGGTTCTTAACCTCTCTGAGCTTCACTCTCCTCACCTATAAAATGGATTATTAGTAGTATGCAACTTATAGATTAGAACAGTCTCGGGGAAACTCCAAACTGCTCACCATGGCCCACAAGACTCTGCAGGATCTGGCCCCTGCCCACCTCTCCGGCCTTCTCTCTTACCACGCTCCCCTTCGCTACTACCTTTCCGCCTTTCTATTCCTCCAACACCGCAAGCCTTTCCAGTTCCGTGGCTCTGCACTTACTGCTCCCTCTGCCTGGAAAGCTCTGTCCCTGCTCTCACGTGGCTGCCTCTTTCCCATCCTTCAGCCGAACGGCTCTTTCTCGGAGAGGCCTTTCCTGCCCCCTCAGCCTGCAGATCCTTCTCTCTTCCTGGGTTCATTTCCTTTTTTGCCCCGGTCACAAGTGATCGCTGTTTGTTTACGTGTTTACTGATCTAAGGCAAGTCTTCCCCTCTAGACTGCAAAGTCCACTTACGAACACAGTGCCTGACACACAGGGGGCTCGACAAACATTTCTAGAAGGAATGACAGCATCCATCAGGGCTCTTGGAAATGATGCTTGTGGCACACCCCCACGGCATTTGGCACACGGAACGTTATGTTGTTGCTGTTATATTGCCCAATAGGCACAGGGAGCTTCTGCCCCTACTCTTTATGGGGAAGAAAATTCCAAGAAAAGAATAGTGGATCTGAATGTGCAAATGTGTCCATCATACAGCTAAACATGGCCAATCTTTTTTCATCTCTTACCCTCCGTGCCACACACTCCCACCCACATATGCAAATCCACGCGGAGCTTGCTTTATTCTGAAGCAAGTCTCAGACATCATAATGTCAACCATTACGTGCCCGAGGCTGGGTGCCGGAGCACAGAGGGTTGGGACAGGCACGTGCATAGCGGTTCTTGGCACTGCCTCTTGTTAAAGAACTTCTAGGTGCCAACTGAAAAATGGAGATAACTGTATTTATGACTGAGAGCTGTTAAGAGATTTAAATGAGTAAATATACTACACAAACAGGGATAGTCCTACCACAAACTATTGCTCAATAAATGCATTCTCACTATGGTGTTATGGTTATACAGTCCTGGCTCCGGAGGCAAGAAGACTGGGTTTGAATCTAGTTCAGCTACTGGCCAGGTAAATCGCCCAAGGCACATGCCTCAGTTTCCTTATCTCTAAAATGGGAAAATAATGGAGCCTGACTCACAGGGTGGGGATGAGGATTCCATAAGGTAGGGAACAGAGGACCTGTGGGGTGGGGTGGCCCACAAGAGGGGACTGGTTCTGTCTGGACGGCACCGAGAGCAGCTCATCCCAGCCCTTACTGTCTGGAGGGGACAGAACAGGCCAGGTGAGGGGTGAGAGCTGCTTCAGATCAGGCGCAGATCCGGCACAAGAAACGGGGTCCCAGGGCTCTGGTGAGCACGAGGACGTCTGTGCACGAGTACGTGCAGGAGAAGGTGGAGCAGGGCAGAGCCAGGTTTGGAGGGCAGAGAGAGAGGCATGGTGGGGCAGGAGGTGGGGAGACCCGAGGGGGCATACCTGGAAGAGCTCGGAGTCATCGGGGCTGTACTGGCTGGGTTCAGTTTCAGAGTTCTCCGGGCACCACTGCAGCTCCCCAAAACAGGTGGCCGAGTCAAAGTCGCTGGCATCCAGCTGGGACAGGTCGAGCTCTGGAAAGTCAGCGCACAGTTGCTCCTCCCCGGAAGCCCCAGCCTGAGGAAACGGGAAAGAAGGAGGTAGATCAGAGCTGAGCTCGGCTAGACCCAAGTAGGAACCCTCTTACCCACGATGCTGCCAATCTGGACCCTTGGCCAAGGCCCGGTTTTGCCAACGGACCAAGAAATGGAAAGATCTGCCCCACCCCTTGCAATGGTGACATCTGCTGGTAGCTAAGCCAGGCCTTGGCAGCACAAGCCCCTCTGCTGCTCGTTCCTCTGCACTCTTACACACCCCTCAAAGCCCTGCCCGCGCGCACCTCTTTCCTCTTACCAGAACTGTTTTGTTGGAAACTTTATTAGAGCCTGTAAAGAGAGAGCTACTCCTTTACATAACTGCCCCCACCTATAAAGGGATTTCCTGAAGCCAACAAGCCCTCTATATAGATAATGAAATAAACAGCAGTAATAACAGCTGACATTACTGAATGATCCTAGGTTCTGGGAAAACACTCGTCCATGCTTCCAGGGATTTTACAGGAAACTTTCGTAATGTCTAAGATGTGGAAGACCACATCAGTGGATGATAGGTAAATAAAACCACAAAACACCTGTATCATGAACCACTACAGTGGAAAAGAATGAGGCAGATCCGCGTGCTCTCCCTAGACATGATAAATAAAAAGGCTATGTTGTAGAATATCAGCCTGTAGAACAGAATCCCACACATGTGATCCCAGGGCCGGCGGCACCAACGTCACCCGGGAACTTGTTATGTTAGCAATAATGCAAATCCTCAGGCCTCAACCCAGAAGGCGATTACTTTCTCACCCTGGTCTCTCAAGTTTCACAGTTACCAACAGGAGGGCTGTCCCGCGGACGCAGAGCTGGCCTGCACGGACACGGAGCACCATCGTGACAAAGAGCATCGGCCCGGGGCCAGGCAGACCTGAGTCAAAATCCCCACTTGCCAGCTGTGAGGCCCTTCATCACAATACCTGCCATGTGTGGTCAAGACTAAAAGAGGCGACATTACGGCAAGGCCCAGTAAGTGCTCAGTAAATGCCAGCGAACGGTAACATAACAAATAATAATAATGATAACAAAAACAACGGTGTTCTGTGGCACGAGGAAAGGGGTGGGAACTGTCTCAGAGAACAAAAAGAGGCGTAGGTGACACTTAAGAGAAATAGGTTTTGCCCAAGCCTTTTCCTTAATTGTTCCCACTTATTAGGCCTCATAAATTATGAATAAATGTATATTATTAGCTCAACTCGACACAGGAAAAAGGCTTTTATCCAAATTTGGGTCAAATGTCTTAATTGGCATTTTGCAAGAATACTGCCTGCATAGGCAGCCCCAGGGCTGGGTCCTCTCACGGAGCTGGTCCCCTGCTCTCAGGCCGGGCAGCAGGGTGCCCAGCGAGTCTGTCTCCAGGGACACGCCCTCCCCTGTCCCCCGCCTGCCTGTTCTTTCTCCAATCCACATGCATTCAACAACCCGAAATACTGAGTGCCACCAGGCAGTGTGCTGGGTGCTACACACAGCCAGGGGTGGGACAGACAAAACCAATGTCCTCTTGAAACTTACATGCGGGGGTGAGGGAGGACGACACTGAACAAATAATCACACAAACAAAACATGTGATTATAAATTCTGACTTTCCAGAGAAGAGCTGAACGCTTCTGAACCTGGTTAGGAATCTGAACATGAGAGGGACACAGGCGCTGGCGCTGCCTTAATCTCTGGGTCCCCCAGGGAACCCCCAGCTGTCATCCACCCTGGCTGTGAACCACCGGCACTTAATGGCTGCGCCCACTGCAAGAGACTCAGGTGGATTCTCTCAGCTAGCTGCCTTCTGAAACTTCCTTTCTCCTTCAAGCCCAGTCGGACTCTGGGATGCCGGAGGTTTTGCCTGTTCTAGATGGACAATTGGTTTGTTTCTAGTTTTTGGCCATTTCGAGTCAGTTTGCAATATCTGTGTACAAGTCTTTGTTTGGACATATTTCTGTTTCATTTGGGTAAACACCTAGGAGTAGAATTGTTGGGTCATACAGTAAATGTGTGTGTAACCCCTGCTGTGCGGAGAGGAGGTATTGGTACCTCTCAGACACCAGGTAGGGCCTGTGGGACAGGAGGGCGGGCCCAAAGCAGAGACACGAGGGTGAGGGGCAGCTGGAGCTTCCCTGGCCAGCAAAGGCCCAGCAATTAAGGTCTTGGGGGAGCTCTTTCGACATGTTCCTGATCCCCAGGAACTCAGAGCAGCCACTTTGGTAGAACTTACTTTTTAGGAACAGCTTTAGAACAAGAGTCCCAGAATCCCAGACCAGCCAGGAAGCAGCAGCGCTGAGAAGTTATCCAGGCCAGTCATGGTGGACAATTTGAGAGTCAGAGGCCCCTTCAAAACCCAGACAAAAGCTATGAACGCTTTTCCACCAAGATGCAAGTATGTGCACAAAATTTATACTTAACTTTTAGGCCTTCACAGACCCAGCTTAAGAACTCCCGACCTTTGCAGGAGTTCTGTCTTTCTTTCTATCTCCTTCACTTTGCAGAGATAGAAACTGAGGCCCAAGTAGAATAATGGACTTGCTCAGGGTCATCCAGGGAGTGTCCTTCCCTCGAAACCATTCCACCTCCTTTATACAATGCCCATAAAACGGCTGTGATGACTGCATTTATTGATTACCCATAGCAGCTCGACACACTCAAAGCGTACCCAGTATATAAAAACAAAGAAACCTCATCTTCTCGGCCTTGTCAATTAGGCCTAAGACCACTCTCTAGCTAAAAACCATTAGGCACTGCATTAATAGTGATTTCTCTGGCCATCTCCATTTTTAGAGAGGCTTTTGAAGGGGTGCCTCAGGTGACCCAGTTCTCTTTGAAAGGTCTCAACTAAGGCCTTCTTGGCCTGGCCTGGGTGCCTTCCGCAGGGCCTGCCAGTGGCGCTGGGAGGTCACAGCACAAAACTAACAGCGGCTGCTGTTACTGAGCGCTCACTATACACCGAGGGCCATGCTAAGTGCCGTACATGCATCCTCTCATCAGAGTCTTAAAACGGTCCTGCAGGGTAGGTGTTACTGTCGCCATGTCACTAAGCAGTGAATCATTTACATTAGTTTGCTATGGCTTCTGCAACAACGGACTGCAACTGGGTGGCTTGAACGGAGTCTGAGATCAAGGTGCTGGCAGGGTTGGTCCCTTCTGAGGGCTGTGAGGGAAGGGCCTGCTCCAGGCCCCTCTCCCTGGTTTGCAGACGGCCGTCTCCCTCTTCACACTGTCCTCCCTCTGTGTGCGTCTGTTTCTGCAGCCACATCTCCCCTTTCGCTAAGGACACCAGCCGTATTGGATGAGGGCCCACCCTAATGACCTCATTTTAACTTGATTATCTCTGTAAAGACCCTATTTCCAAATAAGATCACATCCAGAGGTCCTGGGGGTTAGGACTTCAACTTATCCTTTTTTGGAGGACACGAGTCAATCCATACCACCTACGGTCCCAAAAAGGAGAAGCTGAGATTCAAACCCAAGTCTTTTCTCTCCCTACGAAGGCTGTTCCCTTATCCATCACCCTGCTTCTGAAAGTGAGAAGGAACATTCTAGACCATTGATTCCCATTTACAGACGGGGAAATGGAGATTTGGACAGGGGTTGGGGATGGCCCAAGGCACACAGCAAGTTCATCGCTAAGCAAGGACAAGTCTGGGGCCAAACACACCAAACCGTGCACCAGCCTTGCGTGCACAGCCCCCCTCGCCCCTTCCTCCGGCACCACCACACCCCTTATCGAAAGGCCTGTGGCTGCCCCAAGCCAGGGAGATAAATGACCCTGGCAGTGGATTAATGGGGTTTCATCCAGACTCACATAAGTAGCTTCATTGGAAGCTTGTGCATCTTGTTGGAAATCGATTCCCTGCTGAAGAAGGAATGCATCTTCAGGAAAAATTGGTGGCTCCGCTTTCCTGGCTACAATCAGCAAATCACCTAGCTTAGTGCCTGGCCCAGAGCAGACTCTCAGAATTCCTGAGTGGAAGGAAGCAGGAGGGGACGGGGATGGGGTGGGAGTGTGGCTGCAGCAACAGCTTGGGTTCTGAGCCCATCAGTACTCACTATGCGTCCTTCAGTGGGTCACCTCCCCTCTCTGGTTCTCACTGTCCCCTCTGGAAAAGAGAACATAAAACTAGACAGACTCTCTGGACCCCTCCTGCTCAAGCACGTCCTACATTTTGTACTTACCTAATTTCTGAGAGTCATGTAGGCTTTGGGGAAATATTTAGGTAGAACTTAGCATTTAAAAAACAAATACAGGAATGAATGAATGAATTTCCAGAGGGGAGACAAAAGTGCAAAAAGGATTGTCTTGAAATGAAAAGCCTAGACAAGGGGGACGGCTGCACCCTGGTTGTGCTACTAATGCTAATTCTTTGAGATCAAGACACTAACTTTTGCCACCTCAGTCTTCATTGACAAAATGGGAATAATTAAAAGAATCCTACCTCCAAGGGTTCTTTTTTTTTTTTTTTTGAGACAGAGTCTCACTCTGTTGCCCTGGCTAGAGTGAGTGCCGTGGCATCATCCTAGCTCACAGCAACCTCAAACTCCTGGGCTCAAGCGATCCTACTGCCTCAGCCTCCCGAGTAGCTGGGACTACAGGAATGCGGGGCAGGTGTTATCTTACACAGTCACCTCTTCCATGGGGTCTCGCTCTTGCTCAGGCTGGTCTCGAACTCCTGAGCTCAAACAATCCGCCCACCTTGGCCTCCCAGAGTGCTAGGATTACAGGCGTGAGCCACCGCGCCCGGCCCCTCCAAGGGTTCTTATGAAGTAACACAGGTTGGGAGCCTGGCATGTCTCAGACACACATGAATGGTGGTCTCAGATTACTATGGTCTGAATAGCAGTCTGTGCTCACCCACCCCAACCCTGTCATCAAATTCACATTGAAATCCTAACCTCCAGGGGGATGGCATTAACAGATGGGACCTGTGGGAGGTGACAGACCCAAGGGAGCTCGTTCACCCCTTCCACCACACAAGAATACAACAAGAAGTCACC